CTGAAATCACAGAGATACAAATAAATAGTCAAATACATACAGCATTATTTTCTGTGCTGCAGAACTTTTAATGCCACTACCCATTGTGTGCATGCTTGCTACTTCGAAAAACAGTGTGGTGCATCACTAAAGAAAAGGAGCACAAAGCTTTAGAATACAAATACATCCCTGGAAAAGGAAGGAATTAAGGAGGGAAGTAGTGTTAGCTAGAATAAAAAAATATTTTTAATTTGGAAGACAAAATTTTTAGGTTGTTTTTCTTAACATTAGCTTTAAGTACCTAACAAAGGGAACTGACAATGGTTGGTAGAAGTCGCTCCCTTACCTTTGAGCCTCAAGTGACCTGCTTGTGTATTCTGGATTTCCAGCACTCACCTTGGCTATACCTCAGTTCAACGAGTCCTTAAGGTCATTTGCTAGCACACCCTGGCCCTTGGAACCACAGAATTACCTTTCGTTCATGGAGTTTGAGATGACATTTCGTCCAGATTTAGAGACTGGTGTCCTTTTGTACAGCTACGACACAGACAGCAAGGACTTCCTCTCCATTAACATGGTGGCTGGTTACGTGGAGTTCAGGTTCGACTGTGGCTCAGGAACGGCTGTTATCAGGTAAATAGCATTGCTTGTGTTTCCTTTCCAACAGTGCCATGGTGCTGATCGAGGAGAGGAGTGGGCTGGAAAGAGTAATAGCTTATAATGATGTATGGGAGCCTGTCAGTCTTGAGTGCCTACTTCTTCTAAGGAAACACAGAAACACTAGAACTGTATTCAAGGGGACAGGATTTTCTTCCTACATAAGTTTTTATTATCAATGTTACCATGTCATGCCACCATCTTACTGCAGATGTTACTTTTTTTTTTTGTATGGTATTACAGAAATTCTTGCCTCCATAACATTATACTATAGCTAATTAGGGAATCTATAAATGTTTTATGCATATACTTTCTAGCCACAGGATTGCACAATATTGGCACTTCTGTGAGCATCCTCCTCCCCGGTCTCCAGTTTCAGGCAGTAAGTACTGGGCTGGAGATGTCACAAGAAGATACACCTCCTGGTTCCCTTTTTCCTTGTAGTGCTGTTTTTTTGGGGATCTAAGGCTAATATCCAATTTACATAGCTTAAGCAGACTAAAAGATAAATATATGGTTTAGACGAGTCACCCAGGCTCCCAGACAAAGACAGACCTTCTGAGATTGATTCATTGCATCCTAAAATTAATGTTTAGGACACGAGCAATAAAATGCCTCAGAAAGGGCTGCACTCTTTCTCTCTCTCTATAACCGAGTGCCCCGTCTCTGGGCAGCTGTTCTCTGGGTTCTTACGAAAAGGCAACAGGCCGAACAGAGGCACTCAGTACCTTGGACGTAGTCCAAGAGGCTGCCAGTTTGACCAGGCTGACCTAATATTTAGAAATAATCTATATAAAGCTTATGCAAAATGCGTACACTGCCTGCAAGTCTTGTATACCATACGTTTCCTGTGGATGGACAACAAGAATTTTGGCTATGCTGTGATTAGGAGAAATGTACTGATTTTCCACTGAATGAGGACTCAAGCAAACAAACCCATTCAGATGACAAAGTGAGAGATGAAATTTCAAGGGAGCAAATGCAAAATAATGCACAACCCTGACAGTGCACAGCTGTGGCAATACAGTTAGTGTTGTCAGACAGAAAGATCCTGGAGACAAGATGGATAGTTCTGTGAAAATGAAAGCAACAGCTAACTGCTTAGAGAGGAATACAGAAATGGAAGTACAATGCAGAGAATTATTAGGAATGGAATAAGGAACAATGCCTCTGCAAAAATCCACAATGCACCCTGTCTTGAAAACTTGCTGCCATTCTGGTCACTAAGTAATTACCAAAATTAAAAAAGAAGAGTAGTGTTGATATCCAGGGGAAGGAAAGAAACAGCTTCCACAAACATAGCAGGACCCTTCAACCTGGAAAAGAAAGAGTTTGGTGGAAGTATGATAAAGGTTTTTAAATTGTGAATGAAATGGAGATAAGTAAGTAATGATTATTCTGTATTTTTTCAACATGGAAGAATTAGAAGGAGCCCAGTGAAACTGCAAACCAAAAAATAGAAAACAAAGAAAATAAGACTTTTTTTTTTTTCCAGACAGCACATAAATAAGTTGTGGAAACTAATTGTCACAGAATGTCACAGATGCCAGAACTATGAATAGGTTAAAAAAAAAAATCAGACAAATTGCAAGAAAGCTCCATTGAGGGAGATCAAACGCAATTGTACGGATGCAGCCTTGGACTCAGGAAATTGCTAAATGACAAGTTGCCAGAAGCTGGGAGGATATATCAAGAGAAGAATCACTTCATACTTTCCCTGTTCTTTTCTCTTGCTGAAACGCGGCAGAAATAGCTAATGTCGGAGACCTTTGCTCCAACCCAAAATGGCCCTTCTTACAACAGCCTTCAATCTTTCTCTGATTACAGCCTTCTAATTCTTATTACTGGCAACCATAAGACATTAAAGTAGACATCATTTTTTTTCCCCCCAAGAATATTGTAGTGCTTCAAAACACCTTGGACTAAAGTTTAACCAAGATGTAGGCTTGTAAAATGTGGCCAAAGCCACAAGCACATGTCTGGGAGTGGAAACTGCCCCTTTTTATTGGAAAGCAGAAGAGTGAGCAGGACACCAGCTAGCACCTGGCTCATGTGCACTGGGGAGAAAGATAACGGGGGAGACTCACGAGACCAGCAGACTTTCTTGGAAGTTGTCAGGATCTCCTGTTCAGCTCCTTTTTCTAGATAACGTGTGCAACTCGCACCCTGTCATGAGCTCTGTAAGTGATTAAATAAGATAAATAGATTCCCTGTTTTTTGTGCCTGCTTAGCCAATATCCACCTAAAAGTCTGCCTTGATCTTCATCATACTGCTTCATGCCTACCTTTGTCTTAAACAGGGGAATAACTCTGGTCATCCTGACTATCTCTTTCATAGGATCAGGCTGTTAAATATTATAATATAATCAGAACACAATTATAATGTTTTTATAATTAAGGATGAGGCAAGCTCATTTAGGTATGTTAGCAGCAGCAGTAGGAAAGCTGATGGTGAAGCTTGGGTTTTGCCTGAAATGTCCTGGGATGGAAGCAGCACGGTGTGTGCAGGGGGCTTGGGAGGGAGCAGGGATGCCGAGCAGGCAGACGGATGCAGAAGCTGAGCTGTTTACCAGATGTCTCAGAGGAGAATTTGTTGTCCCGTGGGACTGGCCAGGCATTTTCAGGGTCAACATCTTAATCATTTGGTGTATTTTTTAAGGTTTGGTTTACACAAGGAAAAGTAATCCTTAACCCCACAGCCAGAAGAGCCAGAATTGTTCTAGTGCCTGCAGAAAGCGTTACCAAACTCATACTGGCTTCAAAAAGCCTCTGAATCCAAGAAATGGCTTGCAACTCTGAAGTGATGACTCTGCAAGGCTTAATCATCCCTAATTGTAATTACATCTAGCAGAGCAGGAGCGTTAGCATGCTGATGACCTAATCAGCAGAGGAAATAAAATGTATGTATTGCTACTTACTAGGTAGCCAAACTAATCTGGTTCCTTTATATGTATATATTGACTTCTTCAAGGTGAATAAATTCTGTTACCTATTGATTTACCCAAGGTAGTTAAACCCTAAATGCTACTACATAAGAAAAAGGATAAGTGAATGGCATTGCTTGATGATATTTTTTTATGGCTGTTCTTTGAACCAAGTGTCAAAGTAATATTGCCAGCATAGTCAAAATAGATGAAAATGGGCTTTGAGAAAATATGGAGGAGCAAAACAGATACAACAAAAAGAGTTCAGAGCTCATGTTGATTGTTCAGAAAAAAAAGAAAAAAATGAAATTGTTATTTTCACATTATCAAAATTATATGCCTTTTTTTAATCAGCATTTGAATCACTATTCACTCACTATTTCAAATATCAATTTTTTCAGTTCTTTCATTTTGAAATGTATCTTTTTTTCATTTTTAAATGTAAGTAGCCTGAAAATACAAAACATTATTTCACCCAAACCAATTTTGTATTTTTTCATTGAAAGCTAGAAAGTCTTCAGGTGTCCTAGATAACATGGTTTCTGATTTTTCCAGCTTGACCAGTGAATCAAACACAAGTTTTCATTTCTTCTGGAGGAAAGGCTGTAAGATAACATTTAGACATAAAATGCTTTAACCAGTGTAGTAAAATGACATTTGAAAACAAGATACAAAGTTCTGTAGAACTTGTAAAGGGGAATGTGGTTTTGCCCCCTTATACAGGCTGCTATTCATATTAGTGCTGAAGTAACAAAGATTTTAAGAACAGTTTTAAAATGCTTCCTTTGAGACTGGTGAATACTTTGCACAACTGGGAATTATTGTTCCTAGCCAGGATCTCATCACATCTTTAGGATCGTATTTTAGTTACTTCCCCTTAATGTACAGCAGCTGGGCTGCGTGTGTGTGTGTACGTGTGTGTGTGTGTAGATGTCACTGTAAAAGGCTGCATAAATAGAGCTGATAAGCCAACACAAAGTAGTTCTGTTTTAAACGAGGCCCGAAGAATGTGGGACTAGACTGACCATTAAGTGGGAAGCTTTATCTCCAGGCTTATGTCATTGTGAAATGAGGATGTACGCTGAGAAAAAAATTTGTCTTTATGCATTATAAATGACTGAGCAGAAAAATTAACTTGGAGGTAGATGAAATGCATGCTGATTATAGAAATGTTTTGTTTATAAATAAAAGTAGAACACTTGTTATTTGCTGTAGGAACATGGTCTTAATTTCCTTCGCTGATGGGGCTCAGAAATTACGTTACTTCCTGATAAGGAAAGAACCACAGTGATTTATTTTTATTTTTTATTTAGAAAATCATCCCAGAGGATGTGACTTTTTAAAACCACAACAATATTTGAAAATATCAGAAAGGCAAAAGCATAAAATACTTGAAAGTTTTCTTCCCCTTTAAACAGGAGTGAAGAACCTGTCAGTCTGGGTCAATGGCATGAGTTGCGAGTGTCTCGCACAGCGAAGAATGGTATCCTGCAAGTGGACAACCAAAAGCCAGTGGAAGGCACGGCAGAGGTGAGCATACCGCATGGCTTGTCATGAATACAGCCGTTAGACTATGAAATGATTGCATGGTAAACTACACAGGCTGCTCTCAGAGCTCTTGTAAGCTCAAAAAAGTATACACGTTAGACCAATATTTTCTTAAGCCCAAAACCAGAAATTTGCATATGAAGTCTTCCCTCTGAGGAGAGGGATCTTTGTAAAGGCAGCTGAAATCACAACCTTACCTCGTCTTGCCATCTAACTGGATTCACATTTTTGTGTTTTGTTCATACATGTTCTTGGTGTTCTTTCCTTGGTACTTACTGGTTGTGGCTAAGTCTGTTGAACCATGTGTGCACTATGAAATGCGTCATCTGGAGGATGATATTGAAAATTATGTGCACAAAGTCCTGTTTACCTCTCTCTGAATATTGTGCTGGAAAGGTATGCCAAAAGAGAATTGTTTCTTTGTCTTCTCCTTGCAAAAGTAATTTTCAGGACAGAGTAAAGGCTGGAATACTCAGACAGTCGGTGGCTTGCATTTTATTTTTCCCTCAACAAGAGGTCATAGTGAGTCAAGTTTGTAATAAGGTGAAATTTTGCCTGTACTGAGCAGAGTATTCACTCTAAACACTCAAATGCTTACACAGAGATACTTTTTTATCACAAGAACCTGAGGCTAGAACTGATTAGAAAATGTCTTTTATTGTTTGCTACTGGAAAGTGTGGCCAGAAAACCAGACTCCAGATCCTGTTAGCAGAAGAATCTGCAGGTTTTTCTGCAAACTGGAAAACTATTTAATGCTTAGACTTTTCTTGAAAAATGTAAATAAATCGAAATTCCAGTTGTCTGTCAAGAAACAGATTGAGTGGGAAACATTCAAACGGAGCAGTTGAGACTTCTTTAGATAGATGGGTCAAGATGAAGACTCCCATTTTTTTTTTTCTCTAAGTGCTGCAGTGCAGCTGCAGAAGGAGGTTGGCTGGGAGCTGCCAACAAAGAAATCACAGGAGCTTCTTCAGGACTGGAATTACAGAGTTATCCTGTCCTTAGCTGTTAAACAGCTTTCAGTTCACGCCAGGACCCTGACTAGTCCCATCAGGTATCCTGAGCAACTGCTTCTGGTAACTAATGCAAACTCAATGTTTCTTTCATTTAGCCCCGTAACTTGCTATGGATTATCTTTTTAGATGTTGGAAATGTTAACTGAGTCTCTGTTGCATGGACTTTGCTCTGATTTTAACTTTATGAACCTCATTCTGGTTCCAGATTTACATCAATGTACCTCAAGTCATTGCAAATAGAGCTAGATGTGCAGTCAGAAATCACAATGAGTCAGTCTCCTTTCTTTCTTTCTTCCTTTAGTATTCCTTCCTCCCTTCCATTTTGAAATGCTTGAGATTTTTCAGCTGGTTTTCATTAGGATGAAGCACAGTCAGTAGAGAGTGTCCTACAGTGGTTTCCTTGAGAGAATTGTACAATGAAATGCAATTAACAGAAGTAAAGAGGCATTAAAGTAAGCTATAACATATAATGTAGGCTAATCTGAAGATACAAGCATGGTTCCAGCTACTCTAATAAAATGTTATTCTTATGTTTCTTGCAGGGGGCTTTCACACAGATTAAGTGCAGCTCTGAAATATTTATTGGTGGAGTCCCTAGTTATGATTCTGTGAAGAAGAATTCTGGGATCCTCAGACCCTTCAGTGGGAGCATCCAGAAGGTATGTGCCCAGAGAAACACACTGGAGGCATTTATTTCCATCTCATCCAGTACACACTTTAGGTGGAAACCTGCCCTTATACCACTGGCAATATTCAAAATAATCCAAGATTTCACCTCAGGAGCCCATCACAAAGTGCTTCTTAAACACATATTTGACAGTGAAAAGTCATTCTGACCTTAATAGCCAGTAAGTATTACCAGTGCCAGTCTCCTTATTAATTTCCATACTGTACTAATAAGTGAGCAGAAGCCATACGGGATTGAGTTCAGAACGATGCACAAAGCTATGCCAAGAGTCCTTAGAGTGCCCTGTAGTATCATATATGAATAAATTAATGGAAAAAAATCTTCAAATTCTTCAATGTATGCACACTGAGCCAGCTAAATGTCTGATGTAATTAACAAAGCAATGAGTGAAAAAGGAGGTGCAAATTAAAGTGGATCCCAGTCCAGCTAGCATATTCTTATACCACACAGCATTTGCGTGCCTCACTGCCTTCCCCTCTTATGATTTTATATGGGGCACATGAATGGAGGAGATCTTTTTCATTATTGGCAGTCATTAGGAATGATATTCTAGTGGGGTCAGCTGTGCGTGGGTGCAGTTCTCTTCTGGAGAATAAATCTGTAAATTCATAATAAGTCCTAATAAGTAATCAAAAGAGAGTTCAAACTGAACTAACATTTGCACTCCCTAGGCATGCTTAAAATAATTTGGGTAGAGCTGAAAGTTTGGGCCTGAATCCTCAGAGTTCTAAATGAGTGAGTTGTTGCATCGGATTTACTTAACAAATAAAAAACTCTAATAGTGCATCTCATAACAATTAATCAAGGGCAGAAAGATAATTGCAATTCAGTGTAAATGGTTTCATCACTTTGTCCAGCATTTTTCACTATCTTTGTCAGCTGTCTAGCAGAAAACATGAAGTTCAAGAAAAATGGGTGAGTGTGTAATAGTGTTGGGAACAGGTCAGTCACGCGGACATTATTGGAAAGGTGGGCTTGACTAAATGCAGTGCATTGTGGAGTGCAAGATAGGGAGCCTAGGAGCAATTAATATAGGTCACACTTACAAGATGAGGGTTTGTACCCTAGAGTACAGAGATACTGATAAGGATTGGGAAATGCTGAGTTTGAGACCTTACTTCTGTGATGTAGTTAGGAAGGTGGATTTGCCTTCTCAGAGGCCTGAATGGGATGTCAAAGAAGAGTATTGCCTCCCTTTTGAGCAGTGCGAGACTATTAGTTGACTGCTGTGCTTACGCGTAGTAGGATTTTGGAGAATTGTATAGAAATAAAGCTACAAACGTCACCAAGTACTGGAAAACATGCTGTGTGTAGGAAGACCTAAGATCTCAATCTATTTAGTTTACTCAAATAAGGTTAAGAAGTGACTTTATTGTGGTCTGCTAGTTCCTACGTGACGTGAGATTTCTTTGAGTACCTGGCTCTGAAATGATGCAGAAAGAGGCACAATGAGGAACAATGGCTGGAAGCTGAAGATAAGTTTAAGCCCAGAAATAGAAGACACATTTTTAAGAGTGGGGGCTTGCTAACCTGTGGAAAAATACAGTCAGAAGTTAGAAAGAAGCTGAAAAGGCAGTGGAGTCTTCACTGGTGCATCTTTATGACAGGACTGGATGTTTTTCTGCTGTTGAAGTTTAGTGCTGTTTCAAACAGAGTATATATGCTTGATGCAACCCGTTCTCCCAGTAGGACCCCACTAAGATGTGTAGTCTGAGTTATGCAGGAGCCAGAGTAACTATTACCACTTCTGGCCTTAGAGTCTATTTGTGAAAATGGACTTCTTATTTTGATGTAGCTAGGATCAGAAGCTGTACCAATATGTAATCTCTCTGCCAAGATACCAGCTGAGATTATACAAATGTCAGTTTATGTTGGAAAACATATGTTGCTGACACATTGGAAAAATCCCAACATTTAACAATTCTCTTCAGTTTATATACAAACAGTTTTGTGAAGTCATTAATTATGTTTTTCATCCATCTTAACTCTAGGTTCTTTCAGGCAAGATGAGATACTAGAAGGCAATAGAAAATGTGAAAAGCAAGCTCTTCTGCTTAGTATTTCTGTTGTCAACACTCATCTCCTGGGGGGGTTCCTGATTTCAGAAACGCTTTTCCTCAGCAGTGCTCATCTAATTTTACCGTCCTAGCTCACGGCTCAGCTACAAAGCATTGCACCAGTGTTCAGACAAAAGACTGGTGAATCCCACACAGCTTTACCCCATATGGGGGTTGCCTAAGGCTGTGTCACAAAAGACAAAAGAAATTCATCTCCAGTGGGTCAGGGTGAGCAACAGAATGAGTTGGACCTGTGCAACTGGAAAACACACGTTACAAGAAATAGGTTTTTGGCCAAGTTTTGAGGGTTACATTTCTCTGAAGTCTTCTAGAGAAGTGTTCTGACTAGCAGTACAATACTGGGAATTTGGAAGTTTTTAACATGTGTTTTCCTCTTTTTCTTTTCTTTTTTTTTTTTTTAAACACATAGATTGTCTTGAATGACCGGACGATCGACGTGAAACAGGATTTCACTTTTGGAATCAACCTAGCGAATGCTGCCCACCCCTGTGTGAGCTCACCATGTGCAAATGGAGGCACCTGCATTCCCAGGAAGGACAGCTATGAATGTGACTGTCCCCTGGGCTTCGATGGGCAACATTGCCAAAAAGGTAACGATGGCTGCATTTCAATCCAGTGATCCAGAATTGGTCACAAAAATAAGAGAGATTTAGCACTACAACTGCCTTTGTACACGTTGCTTGAAATAGAAACCCTGGAGGCCAGAGCTCCCTTTTCATCCATGCACATTCCATGTACCCAGGGAAGAATTTGTTTTGTTATTTGGAACATGGTAATCCTGCTGACATCCTCCAGCCAGTGATTGTGTTACGTCCTGAAGCATGAGCATTAACAACCGTTGTAATTTTATCCTCCTTAGGGCTCACAACAAAAACTGTTCTCATATACAGAAAGGTCCAGTCCTTTTTTAGTCACTGACTACTCTGATGGTAATTTCACCATCTGCACAAACCCCACCTTGGTATGGCAATGGAGATCACCAAGGAGAAGAACCTGCCCGGATGCACATTACTCTTCTTTCCTCAGACCCACTGTAATAGTTCAAACCTTAGATTCAGGGAAGTGTTCAGAGTGCATGGAAAGCGTTAAAAAAATGTGCTTTGTGTTATTCCACTAGATGGAGATGTTTCCTTTCTGTCAGGCTTGATCTTGAAAAATTCCTAAGGGAAGGTTTTGTAATGTAACAGCAAACTAGGTTCAGAATTGCTGAATGACATTATTGTCGTCACCCATTCCTTAATTCCTCACAGGCACAATCTTCAAAGTTAAAAGTAGTGGTTTTGGTTAAATTGTGATGAATAGATTGGCCTTTTCTTCCAAACAAGACAGTATCTTAGAACAAAAACGTTTTATTAAAATACAATGCAAGAAACCCCTTTGCTTACGTTGCTGTGGTCTAACTAATAGCTGGAGCAACGTCATTTAGCCCGGCTTCTCTGTGGGGAGGAGGGAGAATTGCGATTTTTGGCTTTCTAGTTATGTGCAGGGTGTAAACTCCTGACTTCAAGATGGTATCTGCAGCAGTACTGAGGTCTCCAGAGGGAGTCAAGGCAAGTGAATGCTTTGCAGCTCGGGTGTGTGACTGCCTGCCCATTCAGCAAGCTCCTGTGCATTGCTAGGGCCACAGCTCCTCACTGCTCCTCTCTGCTGACCTGTGCTAAGCCCCGAGAACAGTGTGCCGAGCTGCCCGCTGCTGCTCCTGCCTCGTGGCACCGGCAGTGCTGCCGCTCGGCTGGCATGCCACCGCTCTCCTCCCTGTTGTAACCTGAATGGGTGCCCAGGCTTCCAGAGACAGTCTGAAGTGCCTTGTGCCTTTGGCTTAGGCTGGATCCTGGGTGTTGCTTCCAATGTGAATCCAGCCTTAATTCATTTTTAAGAGTGTCCAAAAGCATGTGTCACCTGTCTTCTCTTCCTGCTGCCTGCAGCTGCAGTTCAGGTGCCTCTCAACCCTCCTGCCCTTGTGCAGCCTCAGCTGCCACTGATATTCCAAGTTTTTGCTGATGGGTGTGCAGAGAGCATGGAGGTCCCTCCTGAACCTCAGTCCACGACAGCTAGATGAACCTGGAGCAGATTTCTCAAAATAATCCTACCTGGGTCTTTTCAGTAGGGTGTAGACATGGCTAAGGCAGGATGCATGTGTGTCTCCGCTTCTATTTCAGAACAGGGTTTTGCTTAGTGCACTCAGCTGGTATGTGAGAGGCTGAAGGTGCAGTCTCCATCCTCCTTGCTGGTGGGCTGCTGTAACCCCATGCTCTGAAAAAGCAAAGTGCTTGTGAGGGGCTACGCCTCATTTTCTGAAGTTATACATTGCACTTACTTAAAAAATTTAACTTAAATAATGCTGGTATGAGTTATCTAGGATATTGATTCATATTTCAATGGATCATTGGCTGAGGATTCAATAGAGTTTCTGCTGGCATTGCTGGGTTTTATATCTTCTGTCCAAGCTGCGGGAAGCATAAAAGGTATTTTTATGCTTAATTGTGAGATGGAGTGGAACAGCTCACTTGCTTTCCCCTGGTTAGAGCTGATCCCTGGGTAAACCATGGTGAGTCACGGGAATTTGAAAACTGGGACTAGCAGAGGGGTTTGGTGCTGGTCCTACCTGTCTGCACCTTTGTGTGTTTTGAGCAGGCAAATATAAATACTTGGGGCAAAACAATAATAAGAGAGTGCTACTTTCATAGGTAATTATAGTTGTTTATGCAAATGGGAAGCGAGGATCACACATTTGCAGAAAGGTGGGCATGAAACTGGATGAAGGGAGATTTTTATGCTATAGAAAAGTAAAATGAGAATGTTCTTGTTTTGTTTTGTGCTGACTCACTGCAGAGTGTGGAAGTTACTGCCTAAACAGTAAGTACTGCAAATGATGTGAAAGCTGCTCTGTCATTGTGCGTCTGTGTCTGCTCTAGCAAGCTGGATACTGGATTTCCATTAAGCCTGGCAAGCTTCTGTCAATAAGCCAAAATATTTTCTGGGGTTATATAGTACTTCCTTAAACCTCGTCCTGTTGATATTTCAAACTGCATCCAGAGCACCTGCCAAGTGCAGAGCGGTGGCTGTAGAGCTGGTCCCTGTATTCACAAAGCAGCGGGGCCAGGCAGCCAGCTGAGTGCTTTGTAGGGGTAGGTGCTGCTTCAGGCTGCCCTGCAGTTCAGAGCTCACTCCCGCTTGTCATGAGAGCTTTGGTGCCTCTCTGCCAAATCGTGATGAGCAGAGAGTGAAGGTGTTTAGTCCTAGATCTCCTTACTGGCCCTATTCACTTCCAGTTGCAAAGATCCTGCATGCATCAAGGGTACTGCTAAAATTTACTTGGTTTTCTAGGGTCAAATTCAGTGCAGCAAGTGAAGAGCATACAGAAGAGCAAGCAGAGATAAATGCCCATCAAGCTCCATAGAGGAAATCAGAGTGCTAGAGCAAGGGCAAGGGCTGCTGCACAGCACAGGCACCTCCCCCTGCTGAAGGCAAGAGCAGCAGGGCTCTAGTGCCAGTGCGGGATGTGACAGGGGAAGAAGGGCTCCTTTCATGCTCTGCTGCCATCCGCCGTGGTCAGAGACCACGTGCAAAAAGCGTCAGACCTGGCAAGGAATGTCTGGCCAAGTGTAACATCTTTTGCAATCTTCCAACAACGCTGGCAAGCTGCAGGCTGTGGACCACCTGTGGTGGTTTCTTTAGACACATTAGGCAGCTTTCCTGATTTCACTATGGATGAACACAGGCGTTTGTCACTATATAAAGTTTTCAGTCTTGGCACTTAGAGCTAGATTTCATTTTGCTGTTGTTGGCTGCCAGACTACACAATTGTTGCATATCTGTGTTACAGTGAGCTCTTAAAGCCCAGCCAGCCTCTGCATTGCGTAAAGAACGCAAGCATCCATGCCCTGAAAAGGTTGACATTTATATAGATGGGATTAGCTGTGGGTTGAAGGGATTAGTTCTCAGGAAGAAAATAGGATGAAGGCAGCTATCTTAAGGAATTTATAAAACTGGCTTATATTAATGCAGCAGTCAGTTATGACAGATCAGCAGCAATGTGTAAGATGTTCAGTCAAAAGAAAATCTGTTCAGGCCAGTGGTCATAGCCTACCAAAGGCTGTGTATCAAGGATGTTCAGTGATTTATACCACATACCTGAGTTATTTTGCCAAAGTCTTCTCCATGGGCAGCAGTACACCAGCTGCAGGTCTGGTTGCAATGCGTGCTGCCATCCCTGCAGCTGTACCAGGGGCTGTCCCTAGAGAAATGGGAGATGCTGTGTGTGGGACACCCATGAGCTCTGAGCAAAACACCCTCCAAGGCAGCACTGCAGCATGTTGAATGCACGTGCCAAGAGGCTTTGCAGCCTCTGTCATACAGCCTTTAGTGTAGTCTCAGTTGCTTTCAATACACCTAAAGTGATTGAGCGCACCCTGTATGTCCTCCCCAGAGATAGCCTCCCCTGACACTGCATCCCAGAGGCGAGCCCTAGCGGGCAGCAGCTGCTCTGTACAAAGTCACATACACAAAAAGAGAAAATGGGGAGCTTACAGGTTGCCTGTGCTGCCTCCCAGCCTCGCTTTGCAGGGGTGAGATGTCCCAGTGCGTGGTCTGCATATGGTGCTCCATTAAGAGCTGGGGAGGAGTTTCTGAGACTAAGAACAAAGGGTAGTTAATGCATAAGCTTTGGCAGGAGGGTGGCTTGAACCAAACGGAGAATCAGGGAATGTGGAAACAGGGATAAAAATAAAATTTGCAATGTTTTCCCGATGCTTCATGTTTTCCTGCAGTAAGGTTTATGGTGGAGTAATACACTAGGCCCATGACAGGAAGGGTGCAAGTAGAGGGACTGTCAGCAGTTTAAACTACCTTAACTACTGCCCCTACATTTAGGTACGAACTGGCAGTGCCTTTCTGCAAACCAGTGTGAGTGGAGCTCAGTTCTGTGCCACAGGCAGGGACCCGCCAATGCAGGAGTGAATCAATAAAACAATCTTGTCTCTTTTTTTCCTTCCATTTCCATGTCAGTTAACTGACAGTCATCTTCTTTTTTTAATTTATTTTTCAGCCATTACAGAAGCAATTGAAATTCCACAATTTATTGGTCGCAGTTACCTCATATATGATAATCCAGATATCCTGAAAAGGTAATGTGTCTCCTGTGAACATAAATACTCTGTTAGTTAACCATTGACTAGGATAGGAGCCTCATGTGGGAGGATGTTGTATATTTAATTCTTTTAATCTGTATTTGCCACATTTCTAAATTTCAGGAAGAAAATACATTTTTCTATGCATATGGTTATGGCTCAGTTCGTTATAATATCTGAGCATCTTGCAACCTGTAGAGAAGTGGCATGCACGGCATATGTCTGGCACGGAGAAGGACTGGTATGCGCTTTCTGAGAACAAAGAATGGACATACAGAGCCTGTATCTGTAAAGAGACTAAGGATTTTAACTCCTGCTTTAGCCGAAAATTTAGGTCCTCAAACTTTTTTTGGCTGCTCCGTACCCTAAATTCCACCAAATTGTGGGTTGTTTCAACAAATTCCTCCATCTGCCTGTATTTCAGCACTGGCTAGCGGAGGCTTCACTAATGTCCTCACCTGCAGCTCGGTACCTACCAGGACTTTCTGATTTGCCCTTCTTATGCTTCTTCCACTGGCTTCTGAGGGCACCAGATCTCCTGGACGTTCTCAAAATCTGCTTATTGGACTGGATTTCACACTAGGCTTGGGGAGAAAAAGGATTTTCACTAATTTGTGTGGAGTAACCCAGTAGCTATTGACTTTGGGATTCTGGAGGGACAAGTTCAATTCCCCCACTCCAAAATGCTGGAAACGGGGACGTGAACCGGAGTCCCTCACACATCAGCATGTAGGTGAGTTGCAAGACAGTAACCCACAAGACCAGCAGAGAAGAAATACTGCATCATCTTTTATGTTTTTTTTGAAAGAAGACTGTCCCAGTTCAATTTTTTACTATTATTTCCTTCTTCTACATTAAACAGGGTATCAGGATCAAGAACGAATGTGTTCATGAGGTTTAAAACCACAATGAAGGAAGGTCTTTTGATGTGGAGGGGAGACAGTCCCATGCGACCTAACAGCGATTTCATTTCTCTAGGCCTTCAAGAAGGAGCATTAATATTCAGGTAAACTTTCTCTCCCTTATTTGTGTTGCACACAGTACACTCAGGGCTTGAAGGAATTGCCACAACATATCCAGCGCACTTGTCCTTTGGTATAGTGTGAGACAATTACATCCTCAAGGTTTTGTTCTGTCATGGGTCCTGTTGTTGTTGGGGAAAAGATGTGAGTTGAAGAGGTAATGTGCTGCAAGCTTTGCATCATTCCCCCTCCCTCCCTTACAATTTTTAAAACATCAGTTTTTTAATGTGATTTTCTAAAAGTCACCTTACGAGGGTATGAGTACTGTCAGTAACTCCCCCTATGCCTCTTGAAGCACTTGCCATCTCAGTTAAGCAGGGCAGGTGTAGGGTTTGCAGAGAGAGCAGGGGTCAAGGAAAAACCCTGCTGATGCCCGTGCTCACTGCAGGCTTCATTCTTCACTGGAGACTGCACATGGGAGCAGGGCTCCCACCTTCTCGAATGCAAACCCAGCTGTCACCAGGCTTTGTTACTGCCACCATCCACAGAACCACTTATTTAAGAAACAAATAATATTACTGTCAAAAAGCTGAAATTGGGGAGTGTTGGGAAATGTTGGGCTGAACTCATGTGCTCTCTCCAGATTCGCTTTCTCCCTTGCAAACCGTTAGGCAGACTCTGTGCAACTTTTTGCATGGTGCTTTTTTGGGAGTCCTGCCTTTTGAAAGCCCTGTCTAGCCTCATGATCCCCTTTTCAGTTGTGTAAGACAAATATTGAAACAGCAAACTACAAATGCCATCATTATTATGGATTGTTGTGAGACACTGTTGATTAAATGACAAAGATTTTGTTAATCATTTAAGCTATTTTGAAGCTATCTTTTACTTGACTTACATGGTTGTTGTTTGCTACCATGGATGCATAGACAAATTGCATATTTCTATTTAAATTATTTTCTTTTAAGCTTTTTTTGTGTGATTTTTTTGTGGTTAACTTTGCAAAAACTCTTAGTTTGCTCATTGTTTTATAAACAAGGAACTGACTCTGCAGAAATGGTGCATTTTTAAAATATCTTTGGGAGAGCCTGTCTTTCCAAGATGTGTGGTAGTAAGTGGCCAGTCTATTCTGTCTGTTTTCTAGGCACAGTGCATTTTTATTAGGGTTGTTGCTGTCCCCGACATGGAGATACACAAAGGTTTTAGACCAAAACTGCTTCAATTTTATTGAAATACCATCCACGTGCATGTAGGAGGGTGAAAAATTGAGATCCCAAATTAAAACTCTCATAAACAAGGCCTTCAGCCTGTACCAAGCTAGAGAGATTAAAGACAACATCATCACTTCTTCAAAAAAGGCTGAACCTGGAATTAAGCTGATGTCCAGGGTTAGGTACTTGAGAACAGCATGTTAAGTCGTGAGCTGCCCAGAGCAAAATGGTTGTCCTAAATTTGACTCCTCCTGGAGGTTTAAGTGACTCAAACAAACATCTCCTTTTATCCAGGATGCAGATACCAGTGTAGGAACTTCATGATTATCTCTGTGCTTATTATTAGGCTTCATCCTTTCTAATGTAACAGATCTCAACCTTCCCTATAATTCAGATGATTTGTAGATCTGTTATATGTCACATGCTTATTTGCACTTGTCATAATTTATTTATTAACCATGTTTGCAACCTCCCACTGCTCTCCCTCATTAGGCCAAAGGTCACTGACTTTCATGACCTCCTGTTTCGGCCAGGAGCTGCCATGCAGAGGCCCCTTTCTTGCTCCCGTGTGATGGTGGTGATGGTACCCACTCTGACCTGGGCAGGAGGGAGTTTTGCCTGTTGCTCCATGAGCCTGACTTTGCTAAATAAGTGCATTGCTGCTGGGCTTCTAAGGGACTCCACCAGTCCCCCCAGAATCTGAGCCATAAGGGGAGCTCTGGGGGTTAAGCAGGTGGGGCACAGAGTAAGGACATCTGAGCAATTTGGCCGGCAGCTGGTCTTTGCAAGTGAGGCAGTAACATTTTAATTTTTTTTTTTAATTGTAGCTACAATTTGGGCAGTGGCATTGCTTCCATCATGGTGAATGGCTCTTTCAGCGATGGCCGGTGGCACAGAGTCAAGGCTGTTCGGTAAGTGGCCACGCTTCATCTGGGAGGCATTTTGGAGCCACCCTGCCATTAAAGGAGCTGACTGGCGCGGCTGGATGCGGATGGTG